ATAGATTGATTACAAAGTAAAGACCACATTTACCACCTGGATGAGGGCTTTTGAACTACTGTGAAATTTGAGGAATTTGGACTCAAAGATTCTTCTGCACCAGATCTATCTGATGGCCCTTTGGAGACTACTGAAGTACTCTGCACAATTGTGCTGCCCTGACATTTTTCAAACAGCGTTAAAAATATTTTATGCAGGCTTCATAAGTACATATCGCAGAGACATATTGGTACCATGGATAATGATAATTTTCAGCAAATTTAAATGAGGAAGTAGATCCATTATTGCACTAGATACAATACCCGTACAAACAAAAAGCGTTACTGTGACACGTATATCAGAGTCATGATGAGAGATCGGAAAGTAATGACAAAATGATGAATTAACTGTTAGTATACAGACGGCTAAAGCTGTTTGCTCCTCACGCGAAATAAATTGGTGGCAATCTGGGTGGTTAAGATCTGAGCGTTCCAGAATTGAGGAAAAAGGAAATTAAGTATCCAATAGCGGCCAAAAATAAGACGAAATCTTTCCCCGATATTAGCGCTGAAATTGTAATCAATTTTCTCAATGGCGTAGTGAAAGGGAGTAAATGCGTACCCGTCACCGTCGAACGCGTCACGCACACTGCTGTGGTACTCGTACATGGTATAACCATAGCAAGTATAATAAATCTGAAAGTGAACATTAGGACTACTCTGGCAAACAGCAGAAGCTAACCTGGAGTCCAAAAAATCCCGCAGCCGCTACGAGGCTCGCAAGAATGAAGGATAATATAGTGCATATGAAAGCGTGCAGAAACGTGGTGTATCCGATAATCCATCGAACAACAGCTATCGGACCAACACAGTACAAAAATCCAAGAGGAAAACTAGAAACGAAAAATGATAGACTTGCATCAATTCTGCTACATTCAACACCAAAAGAACTGTCACTCACCCAGCCGAAGAGGTTTGATACAGATAAACAGCGGTGTACCGTGCTCCAAGTAATAAACCCACACAAGCCCAGAATAGAAATATGATGAAATAACGCTAGAACGAGTAAATATGGAAGAGTAAATTGATGGATTAGCTAAACGAAAGTGGTATATTGTGTCAAAAGGAATAACATGTTTTGTGAATTTTGCATCTGATGATCATACAGTGAGCCTTTCTGATTCACTATGAAGAGCTACCCAATACCGGGTCTTCACCGTAACGACGTTAGTTTTCTGAGTTTCCAACCTATCAATTTGAAACTTTTCATCAGACTTCATCAGACAGTGGACCAGCAATGTAAAGCTTAGATTCGCATCCGAACGCTGGGATCGCCCTCGCTCTCCCGCCATTTGCGGATTTTTGAACTGAGCTAACTCTTTGTATATTAGATTGCTAGTTCGCTACAAAAGCTGTATTGAAGATGAAGACGCTCCGGTCTCAAAAAGGGCAGTAATATCTAGCCAAGTCAAAGATTAGCTCACTAGCGATCACCAACAACATCACTAGACTTGTATAGACGATAAACGCAAAGCAGAATAAAAATGTTTGACAACTTTGTAAAAAATCACGATGTTTTACCCAATGAACTTCAGATTTTGATATTTGCGCGCATACTTCCTTCTGCAGCTCACGTCGTGCATGAAGATTATTCCCTTTTTCTTAACATACTGACTCGCTTTGAAACTAACAAAACATGATTAAAATAGTTTTAGCAAAATGAGCAGCAAAGATAGATTTGAGAAGGTCTTCAACACCTCGAAACCACTATCTTTCTCAACAATTGTTGCGATAACAGATGCCTTATCAGATAACATTCAGCTTATTTAACGTATGCAAACGTTGCTAGGTTCCATCCAACTTACACGCCAACGGCAAATAGCAATCACTCTTTAATTCTGCTTAAGTGAGCATAAAGAACATACTTGATTTCCTAGTCCAACGCATGCACCAGTTATAAAACAATGGTGGTCTTTCCGCAGAACACAAATTTTACATATCGGACAGTGATGACTTCTAAAATAAGGGGTTGAAATTTTATCTCTCGATGATCAGATACCATGAAATAATTGTGATGGAGTTCAAAGTCTACCTGATCGGCGCCTCGCGATTGCATACGTTACAGAATCTTGAAAGATAGGTTGGGTCGTACTCGCCTTCTTCTTCAGCTGCCAATTCATCTGAACCTGGAGCCATATTCTAGGTAGATACCAAAACATAAACATAGCCATACCTGTTGGAATACTTCTAAATAATCCAGCCACGCAGGACTGCCGTTGCCAGTGAGTAACGCAGTTATGCCTAGTAAAAGAAGACTTACAAGATGCAGGATATTCAAACAAAGCGATTGATCTCTTTCCAGAAAGCTTTTGAGTTTGTCTGTTCCCGTGTAAGTTTGCACTTTATTTTTTAGAATTAGTCATTTTAAATAGAGGTTCTCACGACCGACATGCCGCTTTTGAATGTAGTAGAATTAATGACACAACATTGTTCGTACATTATTAGGCCTTCAGATAAAAAACAAGCAATAAATGGAGAAACCTCACACTTTCTGGCAGATTGTGTTGAAGTAATAAACTGACCAAAAATAGTTATGAGGTACTTATGATAAGCTTTTAGGAAGCTCTCATGCAATCTGGTTTACTAATATATCAGCAATAAACACCTAAGTGTGCCGTTAGGCACGCGCCATACTTGATCCGCTTAATCCACTTGATCCCTTTATCATTGGTCACTTTAGTGAACTGACCAATAGTGAAGTGGATGAAGCAGATCAAGTGGAGACCGCTTCGCGATTGGTCAATTCACTGAATTCACCAATGACGAAGGGGATCAAGCGGATTAAGCGGATCAGGTATAGCGCGGGCCTTAAAACAATCAAACTCCAAATGATAGTAAACTCTAACGACAGCCAATCAATCCAACGAAAACAGCAGACAACGTTATCCGATGAAAGTTCTAAAGTAGTCTCTTCAGCTGATCATGATCTTTCAGAGGCAAAACTCCCCTTCTTGAGGCCCAGCGAGCCTACGAGCGGAGGCTAGC